TATATATATATATACCGAGACCCAAAAAAATGATGGTGGAACTATATGGCAGCATGCATTTCATCTGAACCACCTTACTACATGGATTGTTCCATTTAGAGCACATAAAATGTGACGTGTGTTACGTAAAATGCTGCACAAGACTGACACGTTCAGCAGTGTTATTATAGCAAAGCTGCTAAACCAGTTTAAAGCTGACAGGAATGTGAATTATTCTCTCTGAAAGGACATTTGTAGAGATTTGCTCGCAAAGGTGATCACGAAACAGCTCAACCCCTAATCTTTGAAATATGTGTTGTAGTTTCGAGCCCGTCCTCACTGTCTTGTGTTCCTCCTCCCCAGGTGATGCAGAATAACCACATAGCATCGGTAACCCTCTACGGTGCTCCACGCACGACCAGTCACGCCCGACCCGAGTCCAGCAGCAGTTCCCACTAAACAAGTAACCGCAACCACATCCCGTTTTGGCCTGTCGTGAATCCAGTACTTCTACTGACTGACTTTCTAATCCAGAGCCAGATTCTTAACCAAGCAGACCTAACCGAACAAAGTTACTCTTACCCAGCTCAGATGCTAACAGAGAAACAACTACAATCAGACACGGCATTTACCAACTCTTCCTGTTGGATACTAAGACTCATCCAATCCGGCACACCCATCTAGCACAGCTAGACCAACTCGGTCTATCCCAGGACATCCAGTCACAGTCTCTGCTGGAGCATGGAGCGTTTTATCTTGGTTAGTCCAACAGTCCCAGTGGTGCTGCGTTGTGGTAGAGCTCGACTGTTTCCTTTCCATCCTTAAAATGCTTTCACCCCGGACCACAGGGGGAAAAGCTGCAGACTCTAAGCTGGCGCCAGTTTATTTATCAGCAGCCTCCGTACCGCTGTGGCGGTGGGACAGTCGGCGTTTGAATTCATCTGCTGCAAATCTCAAGTTGTTTAACATCAGCGTAATAATATCGCAGCTGGAAGCTGCTGTGGCCAGAGTCTGGAAACAAAGTGTATCACGTCAAACAACCACAACCAGCAAACCAGTACCGCCAGTCTTCCTGCCTCAGCTTCAGAACGACATCCAAACGACAACAAAACCAAACCAGTTCAGTCCAACCGAGAGCCATCAGAGCCAAAATGCAGTGAAAGCTGCAGAGGACTTGAACCAAAAACACGAGAATCCCAATGTTGTCACACAAGACAGGAAGCGCTCGCTCTCAGGGTTCGGACGGAGACGTCCTCCTGAACATAACCCGCTTGATGTCCCGCCCAGTTGAACCAGATGTGACCAGAAAGAAAATCCTCCCTGTTGTCTTCTTATAACTTTGCTCAGCGGCGCCCGCCAACACACACAGACACACACACAGACACACACACACAGACACACACACAGACACACAAAGCACACTCGACAGCACGGCTGCTGTTGCGTCTCCCTGCACGGACACGGCGACAGAAATGAGCATCTGCATGTGGTGTGAGGCTAATTTTTAAAAATGACATTTCAATTTGTGTTACTTTAAGCTCGCACAAACACACACACACCTTTCATTACTAAACTCATGTATTCCTGATACATGAACGCTGGTTTTATCCGTTTTATCGTGACGCAGACTGACACGAGAATCTTTGCATGGACTCGTGTGCAGCGAGAGGAGACTTACTACAAGCACAAACTGACAGCCCCTTTTCTCTGATCGGTTGCATCTTCTTGCATGTTGTGTAGAGTCGCCACAGAGTTTCTTCATTTTACCGCGGCCGCCCTTTTCACTCGTTCGCCTCGAGACCATTTCCATCGTGTACTGTTTTAAATCCGTTCGTACATTTGCACTAATACTCACCTTTTTACTTGACTGTTTGATTGATCTTCAGATATGGATATTTTGTTTCGTACATTGGATGACAGGGTGTGTGTGTGTGTGTCCTGTATACATATGGAAAGAAAGAAGAGGCCCTTACGTGGTGCTCAGTGTTCGCAGTGCCGTCCTCTTTGTCGCTCCATCTTCTGCTCCTCCTTCACGTCACTGACACATGGCACAGTCTGCATTTGTTTCCTTGTTGAATTGCCAAACTGCGATAGCCAAAGAGGTTTCAGGATGTTGTTATTTGATGTGCTGACATTATCACTGTCTGAACATTTCATACAGAGAGAGTCGGGCGTGGCCGTCTCTGTTTTTTTGGATCTTTTTGTGTCTGACTTGCACATGTTCGTCGTTGCTGTAGTAAAACCTCAGCTCCTGGTTTCTCTGACGGCTGACAGTAATTATACGACTCTGAAAGCGCTCAGTCCGCCTGTCGTGTGGATTCGGTTCCACAGATTCACAGCAGTGTGTGCTGAGAAGTGTCGGAGTGGTCACTGTTGTCACTGAGCTGTCATTCAAAGAAACGTCACCATTTCTCTGGGTTTAGTTCATTTGAACCCATTTTGGAAACGGGGAAAGAAAACCAGTCATTCCTCCATCGTGTGACGTGCAGTTTTGCATCGAACTCCCATTTTATAAATTTACATTATTTTTAATTCCAAGCAGATTAATAATCTGTGTATTAATTTTAATACACATTTTCTTGTATTGTTCTTCAGTACAAACAATTTAATTTAATCTGTTGCTGAGTTTGTGATCAGTGACTCAGTCGGTTAGCATCCCTGTCTGTTAGCCTGTGACCAGCATTATCCAACAACCTGTGCTAACCCCACTTTAATAAGCAAAAAACAAACAAAAAGACCAATACTGCGATGTTTTCATTAGAAGGAAACTAATTAATTTTACTTGTCTATGTTCCTAATTCCTTATAATTCCTAAGCATTTGCTATTTTTATGTATTCAGGCCTTTATGCGTAATGTTGTTGTATGAATGCTGTATATAAATGCGTGCGCTTATTCTGGTGTCTTCTTATTTACAGTGTTAGTGGCACCTCAACATTTCTGCATTGATTTTTATTAGAGTTAAGCTCAGGTGGAGTCATCTGCTCACATTATTGTTTTTATTCTAGACCACTCAGTATTCATATGTTTGCATGTGCAATGCTAACACTGCGAGTATGCTGACATGTCAGCAGTTAGTAAAGCCCTGCGCAAACTTGTTCACAGCTCTCTCTTTAATCCAGTGGACAAAAATGGATTTCTAGTCTGGCTTTGGTGTGCTGCGAGATTTAACATCTGCATCCTGAAAGTTGATTCTGTTCATCTGGACGTTTTCAGTGACGTTTCGTCATCATCAGCTGACTGCAGGTTTCCAACCTTATAAACATCTGCACAGAAACTAGCACCACCGAATGAACAATGGGCTGGGAGGTCAGTTTATGATCATTAATATGCAAACTGTTATGATCATTGATCAAAGCCCATGAGTACCATTCACAGAGTTGGGGACTGGCTGCAATCACAGCATTGTGAGATGGTTACAGATCTACATCTACTTGTTTACAAAGAAAAATATCCGTTTTCCAAGCTTTCCTGCAGCCAGATGAGCATGGCGTTCCATTACTCGTTTTCCAAAACTGGGACACCACGAGCTACAGTAATATTTTAACATTTAAATCCAAAAAACACCAATTTTTGGATTTAGGGTCAGATATTTAAGAGCGACGGCTGTCCGCTTTGTCTCTGATGAAATTGGAAAGACTGTTCCCTACTCTCCTTCCGTTTGTCCACAGCTTCAGTCAAATAGGGGAAAGGCGTAACTCTAGTGAATGCTATATAACATTTACTTGCTTTTGTGTAAGCAAATATAAATGTAAACTGTTGGATTTCGTGCCTCATCTCCCACCGAGCCTGTCTTTGACTTCTTTCTCTATCGACCCTGTAAAAAGGAATCTCCTTGTATATAAAATCAAATGCATTTGAGCTGCAGCGTTGTACAGTGTGTATGTGAGCTCCAGCAACAAGGTAACATGGTATTACGGCTGACTCGTTTTACATTTACCTGCACAGTTTGGCAGGTTGGGTTTCCCCAAAATGAGGAATGTGTTGTTAGTTCTGAACTAGATATTTTTGTTTGAGTTTCTTGTACTGGATCCATTTCTGTTGGGGGTGTGGAGGGTGGGGTCTCATGTGTGCTCATAACCACCCGAAACACCCAGATCAGTGTTAACATGGTGTGGAATACATGAGTGTAGCAAATGCAGGACTAGAAAATCAGTTCTCCACGAGAGAAACTGAAAAAACCTGTAGATACAAATCAACATCTGAAGCAAAACGTCGCCTCCCTCCAAGCTCTGCTGTAACTGTTTGTCTTTGTCCTGTTTGTCTTGTTTTAAACAGTAATGTGAGAATCTGAGACCCGCATTACATCAGTCAGCCACAGCATTGCCTAATTTTGTCTCGTTGAGCCGAATGTGACCCCTCACGGCATGAAGCACCTCTGAGGGTGTCCCGTTGTTCCCCCAGAGAAAGGGGAAGTGGCCTGTGGCCCCAGTTTTGGTAAACCCAGCCCAGTGTCGTGCACGGTCATTGCTGTGATGACGCATTGTCACTCAGAGATGGCGAGGGGAGCTGCAGGGTGCTGGGCAGGTGATCTCACCCTAACTCAGGTGGACATATCACATCCTTGTTTTTCCAAAGTTTTTAGGGCAGAAAAACAAGAGAAACTTTGATCTGTGTGGCTTTTAATTTACACCTTTTTTTTCTTGCTTTTTACAAATGTTTGTTTTACTGAACGAGCAGATGTATGATTATCAAACTGAGATTGTTGTAATTTATAATTGTCATCTTCAGTGTAATGATAATCTCATGTTAATGCTTTGTATCGTCTGTCCTTGGTATCATTTGTTCTGTTGCCCCCCCCCCTTTACTCCCTGGTGTGTGTGTGTGTGTGTGTGTGTGTGTGTGTGTGTGTGTGTGTGTGTGTGTGTGTGTGTGTGTGCGCATTAAGCCCATTTCTGGAAATGGAGCTGGTATACTTAATTAAACTTGTAAAATTCATGGCAATGTGGCATTTTATATTTTGAATACTATAACTTTGTGTATGAAGGTAGATTAACAAAGCATGTCCACAGGAAAAAAGGCAATAACGTAGCGAGTTACCGAGGACTGAACGCTTCGCTCTGGCACTTTGATGCTGTTTCGCGATGATGATGAGATGTGCCGTCTCCTAAGACTCCAACGCACCATTTGGACTTGAATGAAAGTGAATGTTCACTGCTGACTGACATCAAAGTTCATTTTCTGTTTGTGCAACCAGGATATGAAAAAAATAATAAAAAAATATGGATGTCGAAAATAGCAAGAGGTTTTTTACTTTTTTTCTCCCCAAGTTTAAACTCAAAGATGGATTAAAATAAGAGTTTTGTCCTCTTCATTGCACATGACACATCATTCAAAGGTTTGTGTCCCACAGAAAACCAGTTGGCCAGTGGAAGTCCTAATTTTTAATTCCTGTCTTCTTTTATCCGTCTGTATAGATGGATAGATTCATCACTCATCCTCGGTATGCCATTTATAAATACAGATATATTTTTATAACTATGTTTGATTGTTACTAGTAGTGATGTGGTAGCAGTGATATCTGTACCTGCTGTAACAGATGGATAAACATATCTGTGTTTATAAAAGACGTACTACGGAGGAGTCATGAGATGATGAATTAAACACTATCACCATACTAATGCTTATTGGTGTACCATTATGAAGTGCTGCTGATGACTGAAATAAAACCTTTGAAGAAGGTTGAAAATAATGAAAATAAGAAGTCTTGGCATTTCCAAGAGAGCGGGATTTATCGCTGTGATGGCACGATGATTCGCACACCAGGTGTGGAACTTGAACGCAGCCTGTATTCATGCATTTTCACCCGTATCGGATCTCCCTGCAAACCTCTTTCAGGTGAGCTGTCTAACTGTCCTTTATCCTTTTCTTTAATGTCAGGTGTGTTTCCAGAACCACTAAAAACTGCTGTAATTAAACCTATACTGAAAAAGGACAATCTTGACAAATGAACAACTACAGGCCGATCTCAAATCTCCCATTTTTAAGTAAGATCATTGATGAAGCAGTTTCTCAACAGCTCAATTACTCCTTAAACAGAATAACTGCTATGATGCCTTCCAGTCAGGTTTTAGACAGAACCACAGCACTGAAACCGCTCTGACCAAAGTGTTCAAGGACACATGTCTGAATACAGACAGTGGAAAAATGTCAGTCTTAGTTTTACTGGATCTCAGTGCAGCATTTGATACAGTTGACCACAACATATTACTCAAACAACTGGAGAACTGGACAGGTCTTTCAGGAACTGTACTAAACTGGTTCAAAACATACTTTGTATCAATACTTTATCAAATACTTTGTATCAATAGGTAACTTCACATCTGAGCAGACAAGTATCACATGTGGAGTTCCCCAAGGTTCCATCTTGGGACCCCTTCTGTTTAACATCTACATGCTCCCACTGGCACAGATGATAAAGAACAACAAAATAAACTATCACAGCTATGCAGATGACACACAAATATATATCACAATGTCACCAGGAGACCGAGGCCCTATACAGGCTCTTGGTAAATGCATTGAGGAAATTAATGACTGGTTGTGCCACAATTTTCTCCAGCTAAACAAAAACAAACTGAGGTAATAGTCTTTGGAGCCAAAGAAAAACGATTACAGGTCACCAGAGAACTTCTATACACCTAAAAACCACAAACCAGGAGAGAAATGTGGGTGTAGTGATGGATGCAGACCTAAACTTAGAAAAACACATTAAGACAATAACAAAATCAGCTTACTATCACCTCAAGAATATTTCAAGGATTAAAGATCTGATGTCTCAACAGGACCTGGAAAAACTAGTCCATGCATTCATCTTTAGCAGGCTTGATTACTGTAACAGCATCTTTACAGGTCTACCTAAAAAATCAGTCAGACAACTACAGATCATTCAGAGCTCTGCTGCTCGAGTCCTCACTAAGACCAAACAAGTGGACCACATCAGTCCAGCTCTGAGGTCTTTACACTGGCTGCCTGTCCGTCAGAGGATAGACTTTAAAGTTCTGATGCTGGTCTATAAAGCTCTGAATGGTTTAGGACCAAAATACATCAGTGACCTCCTGACCCAGTATGAACCTTCCAGATCCCTCAGATCATCTGGATCCGGGTTTTTTTTAATCAGTTCCCAGAGTCAGAACCAGACACGGAGAAGCCGCATTCAGCTTTTATGCTCCTTATATCTGGAACAAACTCCCAGAAAGCCTCAGATCAGCTGAAACACTCAGTTTATTTAAATCCAGGTTGAAGACTCACCTGTTCTCAGCTGCATTTAAATAAAGCACCAAATCCACACTTTTAAGCTTAAATTTTAAAACGTACATTTTAACTTCTGATTTTATCGACTGTTTTTTTTAATCAATTTTAAATCCTGCGTTTTATTTGTTTCTGTTTCTAATGTCTCTGTAAAGCACTTTGAATCACCTTGTTGTTGAATTGTGCTATAAATAAACCTGCCATGCATTCAGGTTGACCTATCAGAGAGAGACAGATCAGCCGATGTTATATTTACATATTGTTCTGTAATTATCTGTGTTGTGTGTTTATCAATCGCTGTGAGTATCTGATGAAGCTGGTTGAACATTTGGTTTTGTTTGTCTTATCTCGACCCCTTGAAATGTCAAACAAGTAATGACAGGGTTACAATATGCCTCGAAAACCAAACCCACTTTGCTGAAGTCTGCCACACTAAACACTGAACCTCAGTGCTGTCCCGTCCATGTTTGCTTCGTCTGTCTTCATGACGACCATATCAGCCATAATATTCTAGACTAATCTTACACAACATGGCAAAAACAGGCAAATTCTACTAAAGTCCAGAGAACACGAGATTGTTTATTTCGTTTTAACGGACATAAATGTGATCTGTATACATGTGTGAGCTTTGGCAGATTAGGAAACGGGGTACGCCCAAACTTCGGCAGAGGTGTAGTTAGTGTGCATGTTTCAGTGAGGCTTGGTCCCATTTGGTTTGCATCATGCAGATGGTTTCTATTTAGACGTGATTTGCTGCTCCTCCGGGGACAGATAATGCGACCTTCCATTGGCGCCTCTGGGCAGCGTTACAAAGAAGAGAGGGGCATCTCTAAAAATCCCCGCTGCCTTCCCACTACACAAAGTCATTTCCAGTCTTGTCCACAGTCTGAATGTTAACGTGACAGCTTCGAGCAAATGGGGTTAAACCAGCTAACCGCACTTTCTTTGGTTGTTCTCGTGGAACTGTGTGGACATAAACACTGTAAACAACACATTAAGGTTTAAAAGTCCCAACTGTTCACAGCCACAGTGTGAAGAGACAAATGGGGCTCTGATGTCAAGCTAAAATCCCCTCGGGGCTTTCTTTCTCAATAGTCTGGAACACATTTGGCCTTCGTCACTTCATTTCCCCCACGACTGCCAGCCAGCTCGTATAAAGTCTCACATGACTCAGCTGCGCTTTTGAACGCCTCACGAGCCTTTCCAGTCTCGTGCTAGGACCATTTTGTAGGGTCACTAATGTGAGACGAACACCCGTTTCTCATCGTAGTCCGTCTCCTGCCCCACCATCGAGCCCAGCCCCGCCCTCCATTTAAAAGGCCGGGGCGTCCGGCTGGTCCTGTTGTGGCAGCTCAGTTTGGGGTCGTGCAGGAGGTTCCACATGAGCCAGATTTGGGGGACGCTGAGGCTGTGAACAACCATGAGTTCTCTGTAAAAACAAGGGTCGAACGTCTGAAGGTGAGGAGCTGCTGACGGGCGGGGAATTCCAAAGGTCCGGAAGCCCTGATGTCGCAATGGTTTGATGCCGATCAGCTGGAGGCACATTCCCAGAAAGACATCGTCGATGGGGAACAATTCCACCTGGAAAAAAAGTCATTTGAAATCATCATTTTTGATAGATGTGTGAAAATGTTCACTTTCTAATTTGAAGTACCTGTCGACAGGCAGAGCTCAGTCTCTGAGCCGTGTGTCCCGACATCACGAACCCTCCTCCGCCAGCGTAATCGGGGTACAGACCCCCCCCGTACATAAACTCTGGCACATAGTATTTGGAAGTGCGCCGGCGAATGGGTTTAGCACGGATAATGATATCACCGATAAACAGATCCTCGTTTGGCTGTTGACCTCGTAGCATTTCCAGTATGTTTTCCACATTAACATACACATCGGCATCACCTTTGAAGATGAACCTGGATAAGACGAGATAAACGTGAGCTGAGCACCGGAAAAAAACTTACGTCGGCTCGATTAATCGACACTGACTTGACACGAGGACAGCTGCTGTTGATCCAGTTCAGAAAGTGTGTTTCTTTTAGCGTCAGGTTGAAAAAGGTGTCTTCGAAATCCCACAGCAGGACGTCCTTATAGGTTTGACTCTCGTAGGACAGGAGCTGATCCCACAGAGGCAGAGCGGTTCGATTCTTGGGAACACCCAAGAGGAAAACTGTGCGGATGGACACGTCATTTTCAAAATGTCCCTCCTTACCCCACGTCCGGCGTACTACCTAAGAGAAAATGAAGCACAAAGGTCGTTTAACTCGACTAAGAGAGTAAAGGTTTTGCTAACACGCTGCTCAGACACTTTATAGACCAGGAGCGGTAAAACTCTTCATTAGGAATCATGCTTATGTCGATATATTGAGTTACGTCCCACATTCAGTCACTTCCTTTGCTCAGTTTTGTTCCTTAATCCACTCCTGCCTTAAAGATGCTCTTGATCCGTATCGACTGATGCTGGAAAACCAGGTTACGTAAGTAGTGACGCCGTGGAGTGGAAAAGGAACTAAATTGGTTATTACAGCCTCAAGTTTAGTAAGACGCAGAAAATACTGAGACACATGTTCTTGCAGAATATTTTACCTGACGTTTATCAAAATCTGCTGCTATGGATTTCACTGCAATGAGCATATAAGGGGCATTGTTAGACCCTCCTCCTTGTTCCTCTGCTCCTCTGATGTGACATTTTTCTGGCTGGTCTATGAGCAGCTTGAAGTTTCTGTTGTCCTTTTCTCTCAGATAAGCCTCAAAGTCAAACTGTGGCATCGTGGGCAGGGGATTGGCCGCAGTCTTGGTCGGCACGGCGTTCTTCCTGCGTGGCTTGGATTTGCCCTTAGACTTGGATTTGTGTTGGGGAGGTTTCGACCTGGACTGGGATTTACATGGAGGTGGCTGGACCCCTGAAGCCCTGGACGGGAACGCCTAATTAGGGGAAAATGTGTAAAGAAATCTTAACAGCCATATAATACTCACACAGTCCTGCATTATGTTTGTTTGTGACTCTGTATTTCATACTAATCTTGTAAATGAGGACTGAGCTAAGAAATGAATATCATGGTGCAACAACTTCAGGCCTTTGTGTCACAATCTGATCCACTCCTCCACTTTTATTTAAATCTCAGTTTCTATTGAATATCTCTAAAAACTGAGATTTTTTGTATATATCGCTGGCAATATAGACCCTTAAAGCAGCGGTCTCCAACCTTTTTTGCGCCACAGACCGGTTTATGCCCGACAATATTTTCATGGACCGGCCTTTAAGGTGTCGCGGATAAATACAACAAAATAAAACTAGTACCGGTACCGAAAAAAAGAAGATTTATTCATAACACACGTGAAAAGACCCAGGAAAACCGAGTAAACGATAACAAAATAACGCTGAAAACCGTTGAAATAACGTTGAAATAACGTTGAAAACTATACATTTCACACCTGAGCCTCAACTCTCGCGGCCCGGTACCAAACGACTCACAGCCCGGTACCGGTCCGAGGCCCGGGGGTTGGGGACCGCTGCCTTAAACAATATCTGTTTTAATAAAGCCATTAGGCTCGCTGCTATAATACCAACACCTTCATATCAGCAAGTGTAACCTATATCGGGTCATACCCCTTGAAAGTCCTGGCCCACTTTAGCTCCAGTGGCTCCCAGCAGGGTCCGACTGGGGCTGGTGGAGCCGTGGATGTGCAGTTTCCACACAGGTCTGTCCCATCCAGAGGAGAGCACAACCTGGAAACACGAGTGTTGGTTGAAAACCGAGTTGGATTTTTCTTTTAATCCAAAAAGCAACAGTGAAACAAGGCGAACAGCAAAAAGAGCAACTTCCATCCTTACGTGTCGGGCGTACAGCAGGAAACAGAACAGCAGCAGCAGCAGAACTGTGCACATCACGTCTCCCTTCACATGGAGGAGCCTCCTCGTCATCAACATCCTTCTCAGCATCGTTTGAAGACGCTGGCTGTAGTGAAGTATTAAGCAGGAATGCATTGGTTAGTCCTCCTGGTACTTGGAGCTGGAAGACTCGATTTGGTTTTGCTGACTAGTCTGTTAAACTTGTGACGTGAGAACATGCTGGAGCAAAAGCAACAGACAGCATCAAAGAAAAAACAAAGACTCATTTATCGACCCCATTATTTTTCCTTTGGGTTAAACTGTCCCAGACATTTATTTCAGCTCTGGTCATCTGATGCAATCGCTTCTTCCACTGTGGAAGAAATCAGTCTAGATACCACGGCCAGTCCTCTCATTTCACCCACTTTCTTACTACATCACCGATAAACATCCACGCAACAATATCACTCGTGCTTTTTATGAGCTGACTGTTTTTCCCTCTCACACCAAATTCTTCAGTGGGTTCAGGAGTGGGAGTGTCTGAGTCTTATGTAAGGCAACACGAAGGTACCGAGAACTATTGTCTAAGAACGCTGTGTCCCTGAAGCAGACATAACGGCATAAACTAGAACAAGAACACAGAAGATTATATTACAAATATAGAAACACGCATCTGCTTATTTCTTTCATATTTAAATATATCGAGTGTTTTCTTGTTAAAGCAATTCATTCAGACTTACCGAGGAGGCAGACAGAGGGTCAAACTAAAAACATCTGGGCTCCAGCGTGGGCTCCAGCGTGGGCTCCTGCTCTAACAAAGTAAACCGACTTCCAGAGTTTGTAGAAAACCGCGAGGGGAAGTAAAATAGCGCACATCTGTCCGTGTGCTGTTTTCATGAGTGCGAAAGATGCTCAAAGACGAGATGAAAAGCCTGGAGGTGTTTCTCTGACCTGCAGGACGGCGCTCCTCATGCTGCGTTCAGGTGCTGTAGGAAATAACACGTGTTCGTTGTGTACCGTGGCAAACGCTAGCCTGTCTGACTTTTGGAGCGCTAATGGTTAAAGTGTGAGTTACTGACTCGATGTGGGCGTGGCTGATACTTTTCAAACGCAGTTAAAGTAGACGATCAACGCGAACAGCCTTTGGGAGGAGATGCATAGAAATATGTCAATAAAAGCAAAGGGCATACGCAAGGACATCAGGCTAGTGATGCAAGTTTTTTGGGGTTTTTTTTGCCTAATAAACTCTGTAAAAATGTCGATATAATACAGGACAGCGTGGGCAGTGTCATAGGGCTCTGGTCGGCAGTAGGGAGGAGTTAACCACTGATTCAAACCAGGGATATATTTATTTAAATGCATAAAACATTTAAAAATGCAGTAAAACTTGGAGGGTTGTTCATGGTTTTGGTCTTGTTTGTTTCTACCAGGGATTTTAGAGATGAGGTCCAACTAGTGATGGGTAGATGAGGCCTCGTGAAGCGTTTCAGCACATTCCCCAAACTGTGTCGATACTGTGTCGACACAGTGTCGCTGTTTTGCTCCATACTGACACCTGCTGGACCTTAAATATCATTGCAGGCAACTTACTCGAGACTCACAACAGACACTGATTCAATGGCCTAGTCCAGGGGTCTGCAACCTTTTACACCCAAAGAGCCATTTGGAC